TTACCTGCCGTCGGAGTGTGTTAAAAACTACCCTTAGTGCGAAAATGATAGAAAAAAATTGGAAAAACACATTTCGGAAAACTGTAACGCTCTGAAACTTGATTGAGACGATAACTAGAACCATTTCAAACATTCCCTCCAAAGGAAATCCCCTTACCTGCCGTCGGAGTGTGTTAAAAACTACCCTTATTGCGAAAATGATAGAAAAAAATTGGAAAAACACATTTCGGAAAACTGTAACGCTCTGAAACTTGATTGAGACGATAACTAGAACCATTTCAAACATTCCCTCCAAAGGAAATCCCCTTACCTGCCGTCGGAGTGTGTTAAAAACTACCCTTAGTGCGAAAATGATAGAAAAAAATTGGAAAAACACATTTCGGAAAACTGTAACGCTCTGAAACTTCATTGAGACGATAACTAGAACCATTTCAAACATTCCCTCCAAAGGAAATCCCCTTACCTGCCGTCGGAGTGTGTTAAAAACTACCCTTATTGCGAAAATGATAGAAAAAAATTGGAAAAACACATTTCGGAAAACTGTAACGCTCTGAAACTTGATTGAGACGATAACTAGAACCATTTCAAACATTCCCTCCAAAGGAAATCCCCTTACCTGCCGTCGGAGTGTGTTAAAAACTACCCTTAGTGCGAAAATGATAGAAAAAAATTGGAAAAACACATTTCGGAAAACTGTAACGCTCTGAAACTTCATTGAGACGATAACTAGAACCATTTCAAACATTCCCTCCAAAGGAAATCCCCTTACCTGCCGTCGGAGTGTGTTAAAAACTACCCTTAGTGCGAAAATGATAGAAAAAAATTGGAAAAACACATTTCGAGAAACTGTAACGCTTTGAAACTTGATTGAGACGATAACTAGAACCATTTCGAACATTCCCAACAAAGGACAACCCCTTACCTGCCGTCAGAGTGTGTTAAAAACTACCCTTAGTACGAAAATAATAGAAAAAAATTGGAAAAACACATTTCGAGAAACTGTAACGCTCTGAAACTTGAATGGGACGATAACTAGAACCATTTCAAACATTTCCACCAAAGGACAACCCCTTACCTGCCGTCAGAGTGTGTTAAAAACTACCCTTAGTACGAAAATAATAGAAAAAAATTGGAAAAACACATTTCGAGAAACTGTAACGCTCTGAAACTTGATTGGGACGATAACTAGAACCATTTCGAACATTCCCACCAAAGGACAACCCCTTACCTGCCGTCAGAGTGTGTTAAAAACTACCCTTAGTACGAAAATAATAGAAAAAAATTGGAAAAACACATTTCGAGAAACTGTAACGCTCTGAAACTTGAATGGGACGATAACTAGAACCATTTCACACATTCCCACCAAAGGACAACCCCTTACCTGCCGTCGGAGTGTGTTAAAAACTACCCTTAGTCCGAAAATAATAGAAAAAAATTAACAGCTTTGCAATGCAGAAATATTAGAAAATCAATCAAGTCTCAATATTTTGTTAGCTGTAAAACTATAAATCTTGAACTCGAATGGTCCCAATATTAACGGCAACAGCATTCAACAAAACCTAAAAATATTAAGCTCCGTCAAGTTAGCCCCGCCTATTTACTTTTTCTATTTTTTTTCGTGCTAATGAACTGTGCTCCCAGTATGCTCTACTGTGCAACCAATATTAGGAACTGTGTTGAGTTGCACTCAATGCTATCCACCAAATTTTGAGGGGGGGCAACTTGACGCTTAGCCCACCAGTTTTTTCGATTATTTTATCGAACAAAAGCAAAAATCAATACCTACAACTTTCAGTTTTTCGTTTAACCCTCGTTTTTGTCAAAAAATCATAGGCGCCGGAAGTTCAAAATTACTATGGGGGCTCGAGCTCCAAAAAAAACACAAGTGAAATTATTATACAGACAAGACTAGTAGGCTAATATATAGACATATAGGCTTAAATGGGACCAGTTGACTGATACACATTTTACTGCAGGATCGCCACACTGGATCATTGATCCTCCCTGCATATTATTGAAATTCGTGAATCTCCGGAAGCTCGGCAGTACTCGGCTTTGGCAGCACCGCTTCGATTCGCCTTAACCGAGTAGAAGCTCTTATTAGAAGTCTTATTACTTAAAAATGTGTCTAGTGGAATGATCCGGTCTATATATAAATTTTCCATGATATACTAGGTAAAATAAGCCAGTGTAGGCATTCACGATCAAAAAATGAACTCTGCACCTACCGAAAGGTCCCGTAGTTTATTCCATTGATTGTGTGCCAATCCAGAGCCTACCGATAGGTTCATATTGATTTAAGAATCCGTCGCCTACCTATTGTGCATATAATATGTGCATTTACGTTTGATAGGTGATAGATATATTCGAAAAACCTTTTCCACGTTTGTAGAGGATTTACGCTTCCGAGAATCTCCTCTTCGAGGTTTGGTAAGCGTAGCGAGCAATCGAGAACTCAAAAATAATTTCACACCTAAAAAGGTGTGTGCAGAAGGATTTTCAATAGGTTGCCGTCTAGAATAAAGCAGATTCCAAACATCAACAAGTTTAACGGTCAAATTAGAGAGTACCGAGTGTCAAGTAACAAAGTACCACCCCTTGTAACTGTTTTATGTACGATCGAAAATAAAAAAGTTACAGGGGATGTTACTCTATAACTTGACACCCTGTACTAATAAACGCTTATTACTCAGTGGATGAATTTCCTAATGACAATTCTACAAACAAAATTTTATTAACGCATTTAGCTAGCGAGAGCTGACTGGTAGGATATACGGTTTAACACCTTCCAGTAGGCATTTGATCAATTGATGAAAAAGGACGTACCACTAGGCACTCAATCGGTGACTGAACGATCGTTGGATGACAAAGAGGACCTACCGGTAGATCTAGGGTTCACTCCCTATTTATATTCATGTGATGTAAACATATCATAAAAAAAAACAAAAAGAATATAATAATTCCAATCCGACTTTTTGAAAATACAGCTTTAAATACTACACAACAAAACATTCAAATTCTTCGTTAAAGTAGGTAATTAGGAATTTAATATTTTTGTATCTACGTCCTACCCACTAAACAGTAAACTCACTACATACAAACCAAAATCACTATGGGGGCTCTGCCCCCATAGCAAATTCACTATGGGGGCTCAAGCCCCCATTGCCCCCATGGTTCCGGCGCCTATGCAAAAAATGCTATAGCTAGGCCAACTTGAAACTCAGCCCCCCCCCACCGTTTTTTGAATTATTTTCATACTAAGGGTAGTTTTTAACAGACTCCCACGGCAAGTAAGGGGTTGTCCTTTGGAGGGAATATTTGAAATTGTTCTAGTTATCGTCCCAATCAAGTTTTAGAGCGTTACAGTTTTTCGAAATGTGTTTTTCCAATTTTTTTCTATCATTTTCATGCTAAGGGTAGTTTTTAACACACTCTGACGGCAGGTAAGGGGTTGTCCTTTGGTGGGAATGTTTGAAATGGTTCTAGTTATCGTCTCAATCAAGTTTCAGAGCGTTACAGTTTTCCAAAATGTGTTTTTCCAATTTTTTTCTATCATTTTCGCACTAAGGGTAGTTTTTAACACACTCCGACGGCAGGTAAGGGGATTTCCTTTGGAGAGAATGTTTGAAATGGTTCTAGTTATCGTCTCAGTCAAGTTTCAGAGCGTTACAGTTTTCCGAAATGTGTTTTTCCAATTTTTTTCTATCATTTTCGCACTAAGGGTAGTTTTTAACACACTCCGACGGCAGGTAAGGGGTTGTCCTTTGGTGGGAATGTTTGAAATGGTTCTAGTTATCGTCTCAATCAAGTTTCAGAGCGTTACAGTTTTCCAAAATGTGTTTTTCCAATTTTTTTCTATCATTTTCGCACTAAGGGTAGTTTTTAACACACTCCGACGGCAGGTAAGGGGATTTCCTTTGGAGAGAATGTTTGAAATGGTTCTAGTTATCATCTCAGTCAAGTTTCAGAGCGTTACAGTTTTCCGAAATGTGTTTTTTCCAATTTTTTTCTATCATTTTCGCACTAAGGGTAGTTTTTAACACACTCCGACGGCAGGTAAGGGGATTTGCTTTGGAGGGCATGTTTGAAATGGTTCTAGTTATCGTCTCAATCAAGTTTCAGAGCGTTACAGTTTTCCAAAATGTGTTTTTCCAATTTTTTTCTATCATTTTCGCACTAAGGGTAGTTTTTAACACACTCCGACGGCAGGTAAGGGGATTTGCTTTGGAGGGCATGTTTGAAATGGTTCTAGTTATCGTCTCAATCAAGTTTCAGAGCGTTACAGTTTTCCAAAATGTGTTTTTCCAATTTTTTTCTATCATTTTCGCACTAAGGGTAGTTTTTAACACACTCCGACGGCAGGTAAGGGGATTTCCTTTGGAGGGAATGTTTGAAATGGTTCTAGTTATCGTCTCAATCAAGTTTCAGAGCGTTACAGTTTTCCGAAATGTGTTTTTTCCAATTTTTTTCTATCATTTTCGCACTAAGGGTAGTTTTTAACACACTCCGACGGCAGGTAAGGGGATTTCCTTTGGAGGGAATGTTTGAAATGGTTCTAGTTATCGTCTCAATCAAGTTTCAGAGCGTTACAGTTTTCCGAAATGTGTTTTTCCAATTTTTTTTCTAACATTTTCGCACTAAGGGTAGTTTTTAACACACTCCGACGGCAGGTAAGGGGATTTGCTTTGGAGGGCATGTTTGAAATGGTTCTAGTTATCGTCTCAATCAAGTTTCAGAGCGTTACAGTTTTCCGAAATGTGTTTTTCCAATTTTTTTCTAACATTTTCGCACTAAGGGTAGTTTTTAACACACTCCGACGGCAGGTAAGGGGATTTGCTTTGGAGGACATGTTTGAATTGGTTCTAGTTATCGTCTCAATCAAATTTCAGAGCGTTACAGTTTTCCAAAATGTGTTTTTCCAATTTTTTTCTATCATTTTCGCACTAAGGGTAGTTTTTAACACACTCCGACGGCAGGTAAGGGGATTTCCTTTGGAGAGAATGTTTGAAATGGTTCTAGTTATCGTCTCAATCAAGTTTCAGAGCGTTACAGTTTTCCAAAATGTGTTTTTCAAATTTTTTTCTATCATTTTCGCACTAAGGGTAGTTTTTAACACACTCCGACGGCAGGTAAGGGGATTTCCTTTGGAGAGAATGTTTGAAATGGTTCTAGTTATCGTCTCAATCAAGTTTCAGAGCGTTACAGTTTTCCGAAATGTGTTTTTTCCAATTTTTTTCTATCATTTTCGCACTAAGGGTAGTTTTTAACACACTCCGACGGCAGGTAAGGGGATTTCCTTTGGAGGGAATGTTTGAAATGGTTCTAGTTATCGTCTCAATCAAGTTTCAGAGCGTTACAGTTTTCCGAAATGTGTTTTTCCAATTTTTTTCTAACATTTTCGCACTAAGGGTAGTTTTTAACACACTCCGACGGCAGGTAAGGGGATTTGCTTTGGAGGGCATGTTTGAAATGGTTCTAGTTATCGTCTCAATCAAGTTTCAGAGCGTTACAGTTTTCCGAAATGTGTTTTTCCAATTTTTTTCTAACATTTTCGCACTAAGGGTAGTTTTTAACACACTCCGACGGCAGGTAAGGGGATTTGCTTTGTAGAGCATGTTTGAAATGGTTCTAGTTATCGTCTCAATCAAGTTTCAGAGCGTTACAGTTTTCCAAAATGTGTTTTTTCCAATTTTTTTCTATCATTTTCGCACTAAGGGTAGTTTTTAACACACTCCGACGGCAGGTAAGGGGATTTCCTTTGGAGAGAATGTTTGAAATGGTTCTAGTTATCGTCTCAATCAAGTTTCAGAGCGTTACAGTTTTCCGAAATGTGTTTTTCCAATTTTTTTCTATCATTTTCGCACTAAGGGTAGTTTTTAACACACTCCGACGGCAGGTAAGGGGATTTCCTTTGGAGGGAATGTTTGAAATGGTTCTAGTTATCGTCTCAATCAAGTTTCAGAGCGTTACAGTTTTCCGAAATGTGTTTTTCCAATTTTTTTCTAACATTTTCGCACCAAGGGTAGTTTTTAACACACTCCGACGGCAGGTAAGGGGATTTGCTTTGGAGGGCATGTTTGAAATGGTTCTAGTTATCGTCTCAATCAAGTTTCAGAGCGTTACAGTTTTCCGAAATGTGTTTTTCCAATTTTTTTCTAACATTTTCGCACTAAGGGTAGTTTTTAACACACTCCGACGGCAGGTAAGGGGATTTGCTTTGGAGGGCATGTTTGAAATGGTTCTAGTTATCGTCTCAATCAAGTTTCAGAGCGTTACAGTTTTCCAAAATGTGTTTTTTCCAATTTTTTTCTATCATTTTCGCACTAAGGGTAGTTTTTAACACACTCCGACGGCAGGTAAGGGGATTTGCTTTGGAGGGCATGTTTAAAATGGTTCTAGTTATCGTCTCAATCAAGTTTCAGAGCGTTACAGTTTTCCAAAATGTGTTTTTCCAATTTTTTTCTATCATTTTCGCACTAAGGGTAGTTTTTAACACACTCCGACGGCAGGTAAGGGGATTTGCTTTGGAGGGCATGTTTAAAATGGTTCTAGTTATCGTCTCAATCAAGTTTCAGAGCGTTACAGTTTTCCAAAATGTGTTTTTCCAATTTTTTTCTATCATTTTCGCACTAAGGGTAGTTTTTAACACACTCCGACGGCAGGTAAGGGGATTTCCTTTGGAGGGAATGTTTGAAATGGTTCTAGTTATCGTCTCAATCAAGTTTCAGAGCGTTACAGTTTTCCAAAATGTGTTTTTCCAATTTTTTTCTCTCATTTTCGCACTAAGGGTAGTTTTTAACACACTCCGACGGCAGGTAAGGGGATTTGCTTTGGAGGGCATGTTTGAAATGGTTCTAGTTATCGTCTCAATCAAGTTTCAGAGCGTTACAGTTTTCCAAAATGTGTTTTTCCAATTTTTTTCTATCATTTTCGCACTAAGGGTAGTTTTTAACACACTCCGACGGCAGGTAAGGGGATTTCCTTTGGAGGGAATGTTTGAAATGGTTCTAGTTATCGTCTCAATCAAGTTTCAGAGCGTTACAGTTTTCCAAAATGTGTTTTTCCAATTTTTTTCTATCATTTTCGCACTAAGGGTAGTTTTTAACACACTCCGACGGCAGGTAAGGGGATTTGCTTTGGAGGGCATGTTTAAAATGGTTCTAGTTATCGTCTCAATCAAGTTTCAGAGCGTTACAGTTTTCCAAAATGTGTTTTTCCAATTTTTTTCTATCATTTTCGCACTAAGGGTAGTTTTTAACACACTCCGACGGCAGGTAAGGGGATTTCCTTTGGAGGGAATGTTTGAAATGGTTCTAGTTATCGTCTCAATCAAGTTTCAGAGCGTTACAGTTTTCCAAAATGTGTTTTTCCAATTTTTTTCTCTCATTTTCGCACTAAGGGTAGTTTTTAACACACTCCGACGGCAGGTAAGGGGATTTGCTTTGGAGGGCATGTTTGAAATGGTTCTAGTTATCGTCTCAATCAAGTTTCAGAGCGTTACAGTTTTCCAAAATGTGTTTTTTCCAATTTTTTTCTATCATTTTCGCACTAAGGGTAGTTTTTAACACACTCCGACGGCAGGTAAGGGGATTTCCTTTGGAGAGAATGTTTGAAATGGTTCTAGTTATCGTCTCAATCAAGTTTCAGAGCGTTACAGTTTTCCGAAATGTGTTTTTCCAATTTTTTTCTATCATTTTCGCACTAAGGGTAGTTTTTAACACACTCCGACGGCAGGTAAGGGGATTTGCTTTGGAGGGCATGTTTGAAATGGTTCTAGTTATCGTCTCAATCAAGTTTCAGAGCGTTACAGTTTTCCAAAATGTGTTTTTCCAATTTTTTTCTCTCATTTTCGCACTAAGGGTAGTTTTTAACACACTCCGACGGCAGGTAAGGGGATTTGCTTTGGAGGGCATGTTTGAAATGGTTCTAGTTATCGTCTCAATCAAGTTTCAGAGCGTTACAGTTTTCCAAAATGTGTTTTTCCAATTTTTTTCTATCATTTTCGCACTAAGGGTAGTTTTTAACACACTCCGACGGCAGGTAAGGGGATTTCCTTTGGAGGGAATGTTTGAAATGGTTCTAGTTATCGTCTCAATCAAGTTTCAGAGCGTTACAGTTTTCGAAAATGTGTTTTTTCCAATTTTTTTCTATCATTTTCGCACTAAGGGTAGTTTTTAACACACTCCGACGGCAGGTAAGGGGATTTGCTTTGGAGGGCATGTTTAAAATGGTTCTAGTTATCGTCTCAATCAAGTTTCAGAGCGTTACAGTTTTCCAAAATGTGTTTTTCCAATTTTTTTCTATCATTTTCGCACTAAGGGTAGTTTTTAACACACTCCGACGGCAGGTAAGGGGATTTCCTTTGGAGGGAATGTTTGAAATGGTTCTAGTTATCGTCTCAATCAAGTTTCAGAGCGTTACAGTTTTCCAAAATGTGTTTTTCCAATTTTTTTCTCTCATTTTCGCACTAAGGGTAGTTTTTAACACACTCCGACGGCAGGTAAGGGGATTTGCTTTGGAGGGCATGTTTGAAATGGTTCTAGTTATCGTCTCAATCAAGTTTCAGAGCGTTACAGTTTTCCAAAATGTGTTTTTCCAATTTTTTTCTATCATTTTCGCACTAAGGGTAGTTTTTAACACACTCCGACGGCAGGTAAGGGGATTTCCTTTGGAGGGAATGTTTGAAATGGTTCTAGTTATCGTCTCAATCAAGTTTCAGAGCGTTACATTTTTCCGAAATGTGTTTTTCCAATTTTTTTCTATCATTTTCGCACTAAGGGTAGTTTTTAACACACTCCGACGGCAGGTAAGGGGATTTCCTTTGGAGGGAATGTTTGAAATGGTTCTAGTTATCGTCTCAATCAAGTTTCAGAGCGTTACAGTTTTCCAAAATGTGTTTTTCCAATTTTTTTCTATCATTTTCGCACTAAGGGTAGTTTTTAACACACTCCGACGGCAGGTAAGGGGATTTGCTTTGGAGGGCATGTTTGAAATGGTTCTAGTTATCGTCTCAATCAAGTTTCAGAGCGTTACAGTTTTCCAAAATGTGTTTTTCCAATTTTTTTCTATCATTTTCGCACTAAGGGTAGTTTTTAACACACTCCGACGGCAGGTAAGGGGATTTCCTTTGGAGGGAATGTTTGAAATGGTTCTAGTTATCGTCTCAATCAAGTTTCAGAGCGTTACAGTTTTCCGAAATGTGTTTTTCCAATTTTTTTCTATCATTTTCGCACTAAGGGTAGTTTTTAACACACTCCGACGGCAGGTAAGGGTATTTCCTTTGGAGGGAATGTTTGAAATGGTTCTAGTTATCGTCTCAATCAAGTTTCAGAGCGTTACAGTTTTCCAAAATGTGTTTTTCCAATTTTTTTCTATCATTTTCGCACTAAGGGTAGTTTTTAACACACTCCGACGGCAGGTAAGGGGATTTGTTTTGGAGGGCATGTTTGAAATGGTTCTAGTTATCGTCTCAATCAAGTTTCAGAGCGTTACAGTTTTCCGAAATGTGTTTTTCCAATTTTTTTCTAACATTTTCGCACTAAGGGTAGTTTTTAACACACTCCGACGGCAGGTAAGGGGATTTGCTTTGGAGGGCATGTTTGAAATGGTTCTAGTTATCGTCTCAATCAAGTTTCAGAGCGTTACAGTTTTCCAAAATGTGTTTTTCCAATTTTTTTCTATCATTTTCGCACTAAGGGTAGTTTTTAACACACTCCGACGGCAGGTAAGGGGATTTGTTTTGGAGGGCATGTTTGAAATGGTTCTAGTTATCGTCTCAATCAAGTTTCAGAGCGTTACAGTTTTCCAAAATGTGTTTTTCCAATTTTTTTCTATCATTTTCGCACTAAGGGTAGTTTTTAACACACTCCGACGGCAGGTAAGGGGATTTCCTTTGGAGGGAATGTTTGAAATGGTTCTAGTTATCGTCTCAATCAAGTTTCAGAGCGTTACAGTTTTCCGAAATGTGTTTTTCCAATTTTTTTCTATCATTTTCGCACTAAGGGTAGTTTTTAACACACTCCGACGGCAGGTACGGCGATTTCCTTTGGAGGGAATGTTTGAAATGGTTCTAGTTATCGTCTCAATCAAGTTTCAGAGCGTTACAGTTTTCCGAAATGTGTTTTTCCAATTTTTTTCTAACATTTTCGCACTAAGGGTAGTTTTTAACACACTCCGACGGCAGGTAAGGGGATTTGCTTTGGAGGGCATGTTTGAAATGGTTCTAGTTATCGTCTCAATCAAGTTTCAGAGCGTTACAGTTTTCCAAAATGTGTTTTTCCAATTTTTTTCTATCATTTTCGCACTAAGGGTAGTTTTTAACACACTCCGACGGCAGGTAAGGGGATTTCCTTTGGAGGGAATGTTTGAAATGGTTCTAGTTATCGTCTCAATCAAGTTTCAGAGCGTTACAGTTTTCCGAAATGTGTTTTTGCAATTTTTTTCTATTATTTTCGTACTTAGGGTAGTTTTTGACACACTCCGACGGCAGGTAAGGGGTTGTCCTTTGGTGGAAATGTTAGAAATGGTTCTGATGATCGTCCCACTGGGTTTGATGGTGTTATATTTTTCCGAAATGTGCTTTTCCAATTATTTTAATAATAAGGGTTGATCCCAGCCTGACGGCAATAAGGGGTTGTTCTCCGAACTAGAAGTACTTGAGGGCTATGTTAAAGACTATTCTTAATTTCATGGTGTTACATTTTATTTTAAAAAAGTTGTTTAGTAGATATTATTGTTCTACTTGATGTTTTATTAGGGGTAGTTTTTTTTTTTGTTATTCTGTTGTACTTTGCACGAGGGTATATAATAATAATGTACACAAAATTTGTAAATCAACCACTTTAAAAAAAAAAAAGAGCTGCCAAAAAATGGCTGCTAACTTCACAATTTTGGCTGCTACAAATGGCTGCTAACTTCACATTTTTGGCTGCTGCAAAAAGGCTGCTAACTTCACACCGGTGTATAGTTACAGCACAATACCGACATACTATGTGTTTAAAAAAGTAGATGGCAAATATCAATGGATCCATCGTCAAAGACAATTTAATGTGATTGGTCGTATGTACTCTGTTAGTCCAACTCAAACTGAGCTTTTCCATCTTAGAATTTTATTACTTCATGTTAAAGGACCACTGAGTTTTGAGGATATAAAAACTGTTAATGGAGTAAGACAGGAATCATTTATGGCTGCATGTTTGGAATTAGGGCTTATTGAAGATGACCACGAATGGAAAAGGGCAATGAATGAAGCTGAAATTTGGATGATGCCAAGACAACTTCGATATCTTTTTGTTCGTATTTTAATACATTGTCAACCAATACATCCTGAAGAACTTTGGGAAGAATTTAAAGATGCATTGTCAGAAGACTATCGAAGAAAATATAACGGCAGTCAAGATATGAAAAAGGCCTACGTTCAACTTGATTCGATGTTGAATCTAGAAGGCTGGAGTATTTCAATGTTTCCTACTATGCCACAAATAACTGATTTGGATAATGTCAGTAACGACATGGAAATTTTGAATGAAGAAGAAGCATTTGATACATTGCTAAATCAATACGATTCTTTAAATGCAAAACAAAAGGAAATTGTAGATTTCATTTTAGAAAAAGCTGACAACCAAACAGATGAGAACAATGAAGAGACCTCTTGCATCTATATTGACGGTCCTGGTGGATCCGGTAAAACATATCTATACACTACCCTTTATGGTATGCTGAAGACGAGAAATAAAAATGTTTGTACGATGGCGTTCACCGGTATCGCAGCCACATTGCTTCCACATGGAAGAACAGTGCATAAAACGTTCGGATTACCAGTTCCTCTATTTTCGGACTCCAATTCGAGCATTAAAAACAATACGAAAGAGGCAAACTATCTTAAAAGTGTCGACGTTTTCATTTGGGACGAAGCACCAATGGCACCAAAGGATGCATTAGAAGTTATCGAGAGAACATTACGCGATTTAACGAACAATAGGTTGCCTTTTGGAGGTAAAATAATGATTTTGGGTGGGGACTTTCGACAGCTGTTGCCAGTAAAGGTTCATGGTACACGCAGTGAAATAGTCAGTCTTAGTATCAAATTCAGTTCGCTTTGGAATTATTTCCGTAAATTTTCTTTGACACAAAATATGCGAGCTCTAGCAGAAGAACTTGAATTTTCCAAATTTTTATTGGACGTCGGAAATGGAACACTAAATGATTCCAATGACAATCTAAAATTGCCAGAGAAATGTATTGATAATTCGGATATTATTGAAAACATCTATGGAGAAGTACTAAGAGAAGGAAGATTCAGGGACTTGACCAAATCTGCAATACTTTCTGCAAGAAATGTTGACGTCGAAGAAATAAACAAACAAGTTGTCGAATTGTTGGACGTCAAGACCGAAAAACTCTACACCAGTGTAGATAGTGTCGAGAACTGTGATAATGGTGATCTAAATGATGCTATTCTTCCAGAATATTTAAATTCGCTTAACCCGCCGAACTTCCCGCCCCATGAATTACGATTGAGAACGAATTCTATTGTTATGCTCATTAGAAATTTAAGCATCAGTGAAGGTCTTTGCAATGGTACAAGGTTATTAGTTCTGGAACTTGGGGATAATCTGTTACGCTGTGAAATATTGACTGGAGATAAACAAGGAGAAATAGTGTTCATAAATCGAATAACACTCTACTGCGAAAACGTCTACCCTTTTACATTCAAACGGAGACAATTTCCGATAAAATTGGCCTTTGCAATGACGATTAATAAATCTCAAGGACAAACATTTGATAGGATAGGAATTGATCTCAGAAAGGATGTATTTAGTCACGGACAACTTTATGTGGCGCTTTCCAGAGTTCGTTCGTGGAACTCATTGAAAGTTTATTTAGGGAAACAAAGAAGCAATAGTGTTGTCAAAAACCATGTTTTTAAAGAATTGTTTTTTTAATAATTTAGTTTTGAAAATTTGCAGGTGATTTCAGCAGAGATTCACAAGATATTTGAAGATCACAAGTTACAAATTAAACACGATAAACATAAATGATTGAATATAACGGAGAACAACCTATTTACAGATTTATAAGAAAACCGAAAAAGAAAAGAAAAGATAAAGATGAAAGTGTATATGAGAAACTAGCTTAGTTGCAGATTTATTTAATAACAGCCACATGAACAGCCACAAAAATTGGTAGGGACTGCAATATTTTAATTGTATTTATTTTATTTCTGTCTATTACTTTCAGGTGTTGTACAACAGTGTAGAAAAGAATTAGCACTCTTTGAACCTTAAATACTTACGAGTTCCATAAAACAGAATAAGATGCACTGGACATATATGTACACCGACTGTATATTCAAAAAATGTGATCGATTTAAAGTGATTACGAGGTACCACAAAAGTAATTATTCTACTCACTACTCAACTTCTTTCATCGCATTTGAAATTTATGTCTACCACGTACAAACAAAAAATGTAAGTTGAATAATTTAATAATTGAATTTAAAATATTTTTAATAATTTTTTTTTTTTCGGTTTTTCGCAGTAAGAAGTTGATCGAGTAGACTTCAATAACTGACTTAATCAAAAAAAGGAACTCCATGAAAATGCAAAAAGTTTTTAAGACTCGATATCTCGTATTATACCACCGCATATAAATAGTTTATAATTCGGTTTTATATTAACACCTTTATTACGGTTATGATTAATGATTATTCTGTTTCAATCAAACCACTGCGAAAAACGGATACCTACGAGTTCCATAACATAGAATAAGATGCACTGGACATACACACACATTCAATTCAAGAAATGTGATCGATTTAAAATCATTACGATATACCATATAAAAATAATTGCATCGCATTTGAAATTTCTTCACTAAAATGACATCTATACAACCTATCTCACTATTACATTATAATGTATAATGTACATTTAAATCAAAAATTATGTTGTTTTTCGTACAACACTTAATAAATATTTTCCACTTTATAATTGTTTTCATTTTGACAGACTTAATTTAGGAAAAAAAGCGCGCGAAGCGCGCTCATGACCTAGTATACTAAAAATATCCATTAAATTCAAATTTAAATTCAAGTAATTCAAGTGCTGCCATCTATCCACATTTGCGTAAAATTCTCGGTAAAATGCAAGTGTCGAGAATTGATTTTTTAATGCTGCCATCTAGTGCCCGATATTTTATTGATGATTTTTAAAATTCGCATTTGGCAGTTATTTGTATTTTAATTGAAAGAAATTATATTCATCTCACTTTTAGCAAATGGATATATTTCTGTCCTTTTTTAACTTTTGATTTTTAAATATTCATTTTTGGTTTAATGATCCAATTAATTAACAGTCTTTTATCTTTAGGCGTATTTTAGCGACAGGTAAACATCATACTACACATACTACGATTCATGACGTCATAGTTACCCAAATAACAGGTGGAGTGTATTTGACAAAGGGTCTAAGAGAGGACGCCACGATCGTTGTTTATTTGGATTTGTTGAATTTTGTAAAATTTAGCGTTTTCGAGTTTCAATATTATTTCTCCAGTGAAGATTTTCGAATATTTTTGATAGATTGTGGTATTTTTGAATTTTATGGGTACCCTATGCCAAAAAAAAAAATTACACTTTTGTGCACCAGTGAAGATTTTTTATTTTTTTTGCAAAAAACCTCTAAAATAAAATCACAGAAAACCATGGCAAAATGAGGAAAAACAATCCTCTATTTATAATGGAAAGAACTGTGTCGGTAATCGTAGCGTAATCAGCTGATGTTTTGCCCATATGCTCATTTTCGTGTATTAGAAAAAGATGCACTGACATACTACAACCAGTAACTATCCCTCCTTATTCTTGACGTTTGCTGTTGCTACAACGACAGTTAGGTTGGTTTTGCGCGCTGCGATTCTTTGGTCGTGCTCCAGCTGACCCTTTGTATTGAACTGAGTACAATTCTGCAGAATTCCCGCCATTCTGTGATTTCGCCATATCTTCACGCTGAAGAGCTAATTTGACCAAATCATCCAATGATTTTGTGTCTGGTTCCTCGCACAGACGATCAAATACTGCATTATTTGTCAAGCCGGACATGAATTTATCTTTTAGGCCCAGTTGTACAATCTTGGTTCAAAACAGAGTTCAGCTGAACTCGACTGGTACTTGAACTTCCCCATTTGAAATGCATTGCTGTCAAAAATGATAGAAATTGATTAATAGCTGACAGCAATGTATTTTAAATGGGAAAGCTCAAGTACCAGTCGAGTTCAGTTGAACTTTGTTTTGAACCGAGATTGTACAACTGGGCCTTAAAATTCCTATGAGTTTGTTACCAAAATCGCAATTCACACTCAAACTCCGAATTCTTGCGTACCAATCCGCCACAGCCTCACTTTTCTCCTGCCTGGCCTCGTAAAATTTCCTTCTCTCCCGCCAAAAATTTACTTGCGGTGAGAACTGCTTCTCTAGCAAAGCTGTGAGTTCATCAAATTTTTTTTGTTGCCGGCAGATTGGGGTGGCATAAATTCCTGAGAAGTTTATAGGCTTGTACTCCAATAACACTGAGTAACGTCGCTACCTTCACTTTCTCATCTTCCACCTTATTTGCAACGAAATTCTGCTCTAGGCGTTCCTTATATATCACCCATTCGTCTTGGTCCCCGTTAAATTCACCAAACTTTTGAGGTACCGCCATTTTGCTCGCGAAAAGCACTGCCCGTGATATCGAACCGACTTTCAAATCGCGGATAATTAGATACTTTTCCCGCAAACTACACGTTCTTTAGCCTCGTCGCCATTTGTGGTGTCCCATGGCAATAAATAAAAGACTTGGTGCTGAATTAAAACTCCTTTAATTCCGACCTCGCGACTCGATACAACTTGTCCACTTGTCGTCGCCAGAGAGAGTAGAGGTGGGTTGCGATTCCAGAAACTGTGACTTTGTCACTGCTACTCGTCTGTCACAGTCACGGCCTGCTCCAGTCCCAGTCAAGTAGCAGTGACATTTTGTCACTGCCCGCTTCAAGCTTCGACCGATGCAGCGCAGACAAAACTCGAGCTAAGTGATGCAAATGCATTATTATAATATTATAAATCGCATCGCGGTCGACGCGGTCCCGCCAAATAGTAACTGCTACTGCAGAGGGCAGGCTGGAAACTGGAACATCTCCCTCGGCCGTGACTGCGGGCTGCGATTATGCCATTTTGAGATGTAGCATTAACATAATATTAGCAGTTTGGCCGCCAACCAAGGTAAAACTGCTCCAAAAAATCACTGCTATTTGTCACAGTGACACGACTGGAGCAGTCACGTCTTGTCACAGCTGCATTAAAATCACAGGTTCGCCCACCTCTAAGAGAGAGAGAGCCTCCCTCCACGTTCTCACTCTCTGACGTCATCATGCCGGCAAAGAAGGGCGCTGCTAATTACCGGCTGGCAAATACAATGTTGCCGACTTTATTTATTAAAATCAAATTAACAATATATTCCTAAATATAACAGTTTCGTTGTTTTGTTTTGTTCTGACCGCAACCTTTATGTTTTTTCTGTATTGGCTGTACCTTCTATATGACTCTATAGTTTGATGTAGTAAAAATTGTACATGTGTTGCTTAGGATTATGCTTTGACATTTATGTTTATGTTTATTTTTTATTTTATTGATTGTACCTCTTTTTTTTTATAACCCGATAATTTTTAATTACTTGCACATTATTTAAGATCATGCTTTGTCAATGAAATTTATTTTCCGACAATAATAGTAAAGTATATTATATACCTAGGTAGAGAAGTTGGTCATTATATACCGAAAGCTTTTATAAACCGAGGCGCGCAGCGCCGAGGTTTATAATGCTTGAGGTATATAATGACTTTCTCTACCGAGGAATATATAGAATTTTTTTTACTACCTACTGCTAGTAAAAAATAAAAAATTTGTTTAAAATCTGTGTTGTAATTATTTTTTGTGAACGCCCTCTTGAAAGTGCTGCCCT